TTAAATATAATACACAAATTTATGCGAGGTCAGCACTCAAAATCCAATAACTTGTATAATTATTAGATCATTATAAAAAATTTTTATTTAGGGTTTTATTTACCTTAGTCGAAATGATTCAGATGGTGCTGACAATTCCGTTTGTCACAGGGCCATTAAACTTTTTGCGTCATATGGCAACTGAAATACTGTATATTTTTGGAGTATAGGAGTTAGTTATCTTGGTCCTGTGTTAGTAGTCGCTGTTTCTCCAATCCGTGAGAAATATTTTGCCTATGTTAGACCTGAAGACCCGCTGACAGGGACGATGATTTTCTGCGGCAATAAATAGGCAATTCAATCCGTGATAAGTCTGAATTCTGCAAGGTTCCGTGCGTTAAAATTATAAAATCCGTGCATTATAATTTATGATTTCCGCGTTGGTTATAGTAAAAACCTCAAGTATTCTGTGCTTATTCTTCGGATTATTTCGGTTATCATTCAAAATTCTTAGCCCGACCATGCTCGTCTTTTAGGTTTATTATTTATTTTCTACGTCGGAAATCGTATGTTTGGATTGTGTACTTATAAATCTCTACTTTCTGCGACGTTTCCGTGCCATATTCCTACTTTCTGCAACATTTCCGTGATTTCTGCGGCATTCCATGAAACGCAGAAAATCATCGTCCCTGCCCGCTGATAACTTATCCTATACCTAATAGACCACGAAACCCCCTGGCTGGTTATGAGAATCCATAATAATTACATTGCTTATACTGCATTTAAAACACATGTAAGTCTTATAAACTAAAACTTTCTGTTATATTTGTTAGGCTCTCATTATCTTCGTTAAGAATACGTATCGGTATCTAAATTTTATTCTCAAATAGCTATATCACGTCAATCCGATAAAGGAAATAAGTCACGTGGTTTTGGATAGTTTAGTTTCGGAAGAAATTTTCCAACGGAGGGGGCACTAATACACTTTATACTTTTTTGGTTTGAAGGGTTCTGAAAATACCATAGTAATTTGCCGGCCATCCAAAAAGTGTCATTATTGATCTATGGTATATTAAAATTTTATTGGCTATAATTATATTTTATTCGATAATGATATATCAAAAAGTAACCACTGCAAACTAATCTGCATAATTTCAACCTTTCATCAAATATGCATGTAAACAAATAACTCGTAAAATAATATATTTGGTTTAATCTGCATAGCATAACGCGTAAAATAAATATATTTAAAATAATATATTTGGTTATTTCTTATTTTAATATAAAAACTTCTTCTGTAACTTTGTTCCAATTCAATTGAATTACATATTAGTGTAAATCAAAAGATTCAAAAGATCTACAGTAATTATTAACTGTAATAC